ACTATATTTTATAATTTTTTAAAAAAGTAAAACTCAAATAACTAAACTTGGAGCATAGCCCAAGCCTTTACGCTTGTAATTATATAAATACAGTATTTATTTCCCGATATTATGTTCGACTCGATTCTTAGCAGCCTTATTCTTAATGGCAAATTTTAAATAACAGTTTGTTTTTTTCAGAACAATTTGACTCCCTATACAGCTAAAGTGAAAAGATACTAGAAGCCTCACTCGCGGTGTTTGTCAGATAGTACACTTTATTAAAGAGGTTGTTTGAGGAAGTATGCAACGTACCCGCAAATTAATATCAACTCATCACGTCGTATATTGAGTTAAATTTTTTACATTGAAAGAAGTTTTCGAATTCTATCAGACAAGTTTTTAATACCTTGTGAGGCTTTATATTTTGGAAGTTCATCAATCTTTTTGAGAATTTGGGAAAGATTTTTCGCGTTCCATAAAATCATCGTCTAGCCGAAAAAAAAAAAAAAACCCCCACATTAATAAAGAATATTTAAACCAAAAATATTTTGAAGAAAATGCTTACATCTTTATTTGAGCGATATTCTCTGGTTCTTTGAATTGAAAAAGCTGCAAATTTCATTACCGACTTTAAAGTTTCGGAATCGAAAGTCCTCCCACCACATTCAACGTCTTTAGATACAAATTGGAGGGTGGTTTCGAGAGAATTTCGCATTTTCTGTATCATCTTGTTTATAACATTATCCTCAACCTTTTTGACAAAGTTTTGAAATAAGATTAGGATGAGTGAAGACATAAGTTATAGAAAACTTATAACATACCAATTTCCGTTTCTTCTTGGGTACATAGTAGTTGAATATTGACTTTGAAATATCATACGCGAGTGTCACTTGTTTAGGATTCTTGGCAGTTTCTGGATCAGTGAACTCGAGAAATATCTTGGACAAATACCATGGAACTTGTGGAAGAAGATTGGGCAACTCCGAGAAAGATTTGACCGTCAAACGATTGGGCCTCTTTATCCATTTCTGATATGATAATTCGTAAATATTGACTGCCTTTTCTATAGATGGATTTGGGTATTCTTCCGGTAATCCATCGCTTCCTTCATCCTTATAGTGCAAGGCTAAGGACCTAAATAGGTATATGCCGGCCTTCCAACATGATTTCGACAATTCCCCATTCTTTGATTTACTGGATAAATCGTGCACCTGCTTAATTAAGGTAAGTACTTTGCCGTCTTCAAATTGAGTTGGCACTTCTTTGTTCGCGATTATTTTATTAAGAAGAACAAACGCGCTTCTTGAAATTTCATCAGTTTTTGAATTTTTGGAGATTTCAAGTAAAGGAACAAGAAGTTCAAGAATGAGAGGATTGGTGGGTTGAGAGTGAGCAAAAACGCGCAACAGCCCGATGACCTTATGCTTGAAATGTATCTTCTGGTATTTTGCATCTGCATAGATATAGAATCATAGAATCATAGGCTGGTTCGCTTAAATAGTCATTTGAATGCGAACAAATAAATCCGTCAAACCTTTCTTTCTCGATTTTTCAATTTTCTTTTGTTTGAAATATTCTACTAACTTGGAATCCAAATCTTCCATCATTCTTTCCTGATCGCTAACAGCATCGTCTCCTTCATCGCTTTCATTATCTTCATTATCTTCGTCATTTTCATCATCCTCATCGCTTTCATTCTCATCTTGCTCGTCAATATTCTTATATTTTCGTTTCAGTATTACATGATCATCATCACTTTCTCCCGAATCGTCTTCGTTACTGTCATCTTCCCCTTCACTTGCATTCGAATCGCTCTCCTCGTCATCTTCATCCTCTCCTTCCATTTTATCTACCTCCTCTTCGCTGTCGATATCCATTGCTTCGATATCTCCTTTATTTATTAGCTATAAAATGAAATGTTGGCAAATACAAAATCTACAGAATGAAATTAACCCTGTTTAATTTTTTCAAATACATACATCTAATAATAGATTCAACGAAGATCCGGTAATTTTGCCACAAAATATCCTGAATGCATGCTCAGCCATATTGTGCAATAAGGAAGATGGTATCGCTAGATACCCAAGTAATATATCAACAATCACATCCGCTGGATCGTGTTCATCGTGAATTGACTTCTTGGACTTTGCAGACATTTTTGCATAACAAGATTGCAAATCCTTTAAGAAAAAAAAAAATAATAATAATAAGCAAAGAAAGATCATTTTTGACTAAAGATGCACGACACAAGACGCTAACCTCCAAGGCGTTCATTGCCTCCTTCTGCTCATTGTACAATGTAAGAATGGAAAAGGAAAAGAGCCACAGAAAACCTTCACATTGCAATGCCTCGTCTTGGTTTTTCGTCGTCTTTTCTTTACTCTTTCTAAGCTATAGTGTTAACAGCTTTCATTAGCATTTGTCGAACACCACAAAAGCATCGCCGAAAATGAGCTACTTACTTTATCATTAATTCGGTGCATAATCTTAAAGACTTTTTCCTTTGTTTCTCGGACTTCATCATTAAGAATAATTAACGGTTCAATTTTTTCATCTCTTTCGAGTTTTACAAGTTGACACACGGCATAATAGGCCCACGTTTCACCATTATTCATGGTGCCATTTAGTCGAACGTCAAAGCTCTGTTCTAAATACCAAATAAATGAATAGAAAGGAAAAGATCAATTCCATGAAAGCAAAAAAAAAAAAAAAAATCAACAATTTTATTCAACAGAGTACATACTATTTTCGAGAGGACGAATGGTAATCAATTCACCAAGCGCATGAAAGAAGCGTGTCCTACAACATTCCTGAGTTTTCTCGGACAGTGGAGGTTTAGGCACTCTAAATCTAGCCTGCATAAAATCCTCTCTCATTTTTTCCAGGGGTTCCCCCATGGAATCGAACATACTCGATGATTCGTCGAAATCGCACTACATATATGAAGCTTGATAAATAACGTGAATGTATAGTTGGGAAAGAAAGAAAAGCAATCATACCTTCGAAATTTTCTTTTCTCCATCAACTTTAGCAGTGAAGAATCCATACATTATGAACATATTAAAAACGATTATCATCCAGCTTTCGCGACGTTTCATCTGCGCGTCTTTCAATATCGAATATACGAAATTGATTATCCACTGCCGGCAATCCTCAATCGTATCGGTACCGCTGGATAAAATCAAATATCGATTGAAGATTCTAGCACCTATCATTTGACTTTAGCATGAAATCAAATCTCACCTATTATCCTTTTGATTCGGTTTCAGAAATATCTGTTCGACATGCAATAAGAAATTTTCTAATGCGTCACTACTCATTGTTCTAAGAATTCGCTTGATGGTTTTGGTACCGCTGAGCGTGTCAAAGTCCCAATTGCAGTTTGTACCCAACAAAGATTTGACTATGATCATTCCCTTATCTCCATCCTCCGCGGAAACTTGTTCAATTACCTTCAGCTGAAATGTTGCAAAGTGAGCTGTTTAAGACCGTCAAAGAAAAAAAGTCAAACAAAAAATGTGACGTAGTCTGATGATTCGTGATTACCGTGTGCATTGCAGCTCGATGTAAATGGCGGTTTTTATCGTGTAGGTTATTTATCAAAGAATGCACGAAGTTTGATGTAAATATGACTGAAATTTTTTTTGCTGGAAAAGTGTTCAGCACTTTTTCAAATAATTGGAATCCCCAGAAATTTCTCTGATGCGTTTTTCCTCCACCAAAAAGATAGTCTATGGATCGGGCGGGATTATAAGATGCGATCACCCGGCATTATAAAAAAAAAAAAAACGAGTAGTGCGTACGAACCATCTACAACAAATTTCCAGAAGTCATCAAATTTAATCGAATGCTTTCCGATGACATCCTCACAGCTATACAGGTTTATTATCGTGTTCCACACGGAATGCAGTCGACTCTCCTGATTTTGATGGATTTCAGCTGCGAGCTTGCTTGACCTAGCCTGAAACGCAATGATAAATGGATAAAGTGATACGAGTGAAACAGAGATAACCAGATCTTCAAAGCATACTTGAATGGCCTCGGCTAGCTTCGCCATATTATCTCGATGCATAATATTTGGGTTTCGCCATTTAACAACGCATGAGTCGCAATCATGCAACAAAATTTTTTTCCAACTGTCGTTTTTCACTATTTCCTGCGAACAAAAAAATCCACATATGAGAAATAGAGAAATTTATGTTGTGACAATAAACTCTCGGGGCACGATTGGCGACATACTTACTGGATATTGGGATTCAATGGAAAGCGCAAGATTTACATCATCGGGATTATGTATTCCATGGTTGTTACGTCCTTTCATGACAGTTATCAGATGTGCTATCGCTGAATCCTCAAAGGAAGTGATTTTTAACTATATGATTTGGTGCAGTCGATTAACTCGTATTACTTCTTCGAAGGAAACGAAGTGATGGCAGCTTACGTGGGGTATACTCGAAATTATGATGTGATAACAGGATTCTCGAACGTATGACTTGTAATTGGAACAAGCTATCAAATTATCGATAGTCTCAATGTAATTTTCTTTAGTGGAACTTTCGCGCCAAAGAATTCCCGATTGAATGATGGCCATGAAGCCAAAGACGCGCCCAAAAATAAGATCCGAATTTTCCTGTACAAATAATTGCGCCGTTAAAAATATGTTGCCAAGCGGTGATGTTTAAACCGCACAAATTTGATCTGCAGTAATATAACATACACGATCTTTCGAGGACTTTATCAGACATGCTTCGTCGATGAGCGTTGCTATAATTTTGTACGTGACGCACTTCAGACAGGCCAAAAGCTTCAATGAAGGATGAGAGGTTGAATAATTAATGGAAATTGCGAGCTTCCTTGATGCTAACAACGTTGAAAAACAAACGCACCTCGATCAAGGCAAGGGAAAAACCATGTCTAGCGCCTGCTCGTGGACTAGCGAGACCTCTTGTCAAACGGACCAGAGAATATGTTATGTCTGCACCACATGAGCTTTCCAGATAATCCAAGACCCTTAAAAATTGGATAGATCAAATTGGAGTTGTAAAATGATAGTGCAAGTTCAAATGTTTATGGCGTACCCCGTGAAATCCTCTTTAGCAATTTTATTTGAAGTGGGGTTCACCTTCGACTTTAAATGCTCTTCGTATTTATTGTGCAGGTACGAGATAAAACCAGCAGTCGAAGCCTGGCGTTCCAAAGGATCCAAGGATGCCAATTCATAAAAAAAATCGTAAGTAGACACCATTTCCCACTTCGGAAATTTTTCCAATTTTGATCACAATTACATACCAAAAATGATGGTTTCACAAGATTATCGGTCACTATCATATATATAGGTATGTACGTACCGATACGTATAGCACGCACTTCCCATTATGACCCCTCCCCTCCGTGGATCATCCCTCTCCAAAGACCTTCGCGCTCTAATTGACGATCCCAAGTATAGCGACGTCAAAATTGAATGTTCTGATGGCGTACTACTTCATGGATGCCGTGCAATTCTTGCTGCTCGTTCCGACATGCTTGAGAGTCTACTGTACAATCAAATGCGCGAATCGCATGAAGATACAATTCGATTTCCAGACCATGATTCCAAAACCGTAAGGGTCCTCCTAGAATACGTCTACACCGGCGAATTCGGCGATGTTGAGGGATCGCTAATGGATTTAATTGATGCATTCTCTGCAGCCGAATACTTTCTGTTGCCAGAATTGCAAACACTTATTCTGGCAAAACTTTCTAATATGACGACCGATGATCCTTCGAATTCATCCCCCGAACTATTGTCCATGGCTATAGATAAGATATCTCCAACCGCGAAAAATCACCCATTTATAGATTTGCTAGTTGAAGGTGTGGCCGAGGTCCCGCTGGAGACAATTTCTCACGACAAATTGTCAACAAGAGCACTCGAATACCTACTTAGATATTGTTGGGACAATAATATTTCGCTTGTAAAACATGAATATGATTTGTTCAAATTTGTTGTCCTGCATGCCGCCAGCAAAGTATCCCCAGAAGCTTTAGATAGATTTCAAACATGCTTACCACCACTGGAGGAAATTAAAAATAATTCTGTTTACAGTGAGCATATAGAAGATTTATCATCATATCGACTAAGTGTAACGAAGGAATTAGGTAACATGTTGAATTACGTTAATCTTAAGGTGATTAGCGGGAAGGTGTTGGCGGATGTCATTGAACCGTTGGAGGTTGTATCACCCAGGCGTCTCCTTGATGCATACAGACACAAGGCAATGAGTGAGACGTTGGAGACCGAAAAGGAGGTTAAAGTCGAATTTACCTGGGATAATAATTACCACGGACCAAATTTAGGTATATGCATTTATAAATAAATATATATATATATATGCATATGTGTATGTATTTATATATATGTATATAATTTTTTTTTTTCTTTTTTTTAAAAAAAAAATTTTTTTTGACAATCAAATATAATCAAAACAAAAAAATTATGAAAATAAGCAATTTCCCCCGACGGACGCACCGTCTGTGCTCTTTCTTCTATCAGGTATAACGAACGAGCACGCGTCTCGCAATCCATCGAAACCGGGTTACACGAATGGGACATCTTCATCGAGGTCCCCAGTTCATCCGATTGGGTTGGAATATGTGGAGAGGGATCGGTTATCGATTTTAATCACGAAGATTATAATTCGAAAGTATGGATCCTGGGGTCAACGGGTCACGTGAGCAATAAAGCTCAGCAAAGACCTTATTGCCCGCAGTTTATGCGGAACACCAAGGTTACTGTGCATTTAAATATGAACGACCGAACTGTCGGATTCTCGGTTAATGATGCATCGTATGGGCCTGTAACGGAATGGAGGAACCTGCCTTCAAAGGTGTACCCACTGATTTCGATGAGGAACGGCGGAAAGTTTAGAATTCAGAGGCGAAGTTGAGAGAAGAAATCTTGGTGATGTGAGATGACGAGAAAATTTTTGTTTTATTATTACTCACTCAGATCGAGAATTTGATTATGCTATGTCACGTGTCGTATTGTATAATAACCTTTTTGAAATTTAGTAATCTACTGTTTTTCAATTAACATAAAATCAACATAAAATAAAAAAACTGTTAATCATATCATTTTCTACAATTGCGCCATGAGCTTCCTTCCAACCGCGGAAAATGGGACATGTCCGGACAGACCTGCCAACATACCTCTTCATTGGTCGAACGTTGGTTTTGCCTCTATGTTTGTCATAGTCAACGGTGATTAAAATGGAACTTTCATTCTGCATTCACAGAGAACAAGCTCGGGTCATTTGACATAATGTATGACAATTAGGAGTTACCTCCATGTGGCTCGATTTACACTTGGAAAAGTCTTTGTTCATTAGTTCAATCCGTTGCGTAGTTCAGCTAACGATTATGGTTAGTATATATGAATGTTTCGCGCTTACTCTCAGGAGCTTAATTTATTCTTTTCCAACTCAGGGACTAGTTCTCGAAGACGTCTTCAAAGCACGAAACCCTCTTATTGTTATGTTGATGACGTGTATGTTCAAGCAACTCGTGATAAAGCCGAATTGCATAATATTACTAAACTCTTTCTTTAATCATACGTCTCCAAGATAGTCGTTCTTATTTTACTCGGCGCATATGAAATCGTATTCCACAAGAATCGAAAAAGATATACGGGAATGGTATAATGTTATTATTAGTTTTTCGCATCTCATCTCATTTTTAATTTACTGTGTTCCGGCTCATCCTTTGTAGTTCCTATCCGTTCTCGTTTCGTTGGGTACAAGTACTCTCATAATCGGCATCATTGGTATAATTTATACCATATACTTAAACTTCAAATAGACATTTTAATAATTTTTAAAATTCTTACAGATTGTATTGTATAGGTTCGCGTGTCGCGTTGGCTCAAGTTCAGTTTTGGGAACCCCGGTAGGAACAATGATTACTCGTCGCATTTTTCTGCAATTGAATGTACAACCGTCATTTGATGATTTATTATTCTTGATAACACAGAGTATTTATTCCAACGATGGGAATGTTACTTGGAAATTGCATGTCAGCAATAGCAGTTAGCAATTCCTATGCGTTGGAACAATTTAGGTGAAGCGCATTGAAGCTTCGTAACTTGCTAGATCTTCAACATCACGCTCATTGTCTTAAAATTCTTTAGTGGACAAAAGGAGAAAATAGAAATGTATTTGGCGTTCGGCGCTAGTAGATGGGAGGCTGGCCGCCCGGTTGCTGTAGAAGCAGTAAAATTGGCCATGTTACCAACTATTAATTCAATGAGGTTTTTGCATAAGAAGTAACCATTGCATTCTTTGGATTTTATAAATTGGTAACATCAAACAAATTTGATCACAGCATAATCGGATTAATCTCCATTCCTGGTAAAAAAAATTTTTTTTTTTTTTATATTAATTATTAATTTCAAGATCATAAGGCGTTTACCATTTTTTTACGTCAAACTATTAAGGCATGATGACTGGGCAAATAATCGGTGGTGCACCCATAATGGACGCTGTCAAATACCAACAGATAATTATGTTTATGATTTCGGCTTCAACTGCGTTAGGTGTTCTAATGTCGATTTTTGTAAGTTATATATTCCCATCTGCTATCTACTTTCTTCGATTTTTAAATTAACTGACATCCATCTCACCTCGTCCTATAGGTATGTGTGTTTGTATGTATTGATAATTTGCAACGTCTACGTATTGAACGGATAACAAATTCCAGCCCACGGTTCTTCGTAAAGAAAGATGCACTAATTTCTGGCGTAAAAAACGCATTCTCCGGACTCAAAAATCGCGTAGTTTTTCGAACTACAAACTCCTCTGATAACGAGGGTGAAAATCAAAATTTAATAGATGCACGCTAACTTTCACTATCCCCTTTAATTAAAGGAGATATTGAATGTTGTTTTTACGCGGATTCTGAGTACAAAAAATTTGATAAAAAATCGTTTCAAATACAATTTATGCTTGATCTTTGGATATTTCATACTTTCAACTAGTATTTGAATTAAATTGGTTTGATTCATTAAATGATCAAAATCTACGAAGATAACAAAATTAAGTAATCTTGGCATTTTATTTATAAACTAAATTCATTAAAACATTGGTAATTAAAATATTAGATAAACTCGATTGTAACCATTTTTTTTTATTCACATTTTTAATAATTATTTAAATAAAAATCATTTAAAAAAGCTTTAAATTGTTTTTTTTTCTTTTTTTTTTAATATATCAATTCAATAATTTCTTATTTTTTAGAATAATTTATAATAATTAAACTAATAATAATAATTTTAATAGATAGAAGTATTAATATTAATTTATCAAAAAAATGAAATATTATTTCTTAAATATGATTTAAAATATCCAATTAAGACTTTATTTTTTTAATCTGAACTAGATTAATAGACTTCATATATTTTTAAGTAGCATAGTTTTTTAACTAATATTATATAAAAATAAGTTAATTATTATATAAAAATTTATATAATATTATAAATATTTATTTGGTTCTGCAATAATAACTTGTAGATAATAAATTTAACAATTGAAAGGGTTTTTATCTGAACTACTAATGAAATAATAGATCATTTCTAAAGTTGCATTTAAAGTTTTGATAAATTTTAAAATATTGATGAGTAAGTTAAGTAAAGATTTTTTTTTTTTTTTTTTTTAATTAACCCTCTGTCAGGCTAGTTGCGTGCGCTTTATTAAACAAAAGTAAGCTATACATT